CTTATGCTGACATAAATGTGAGAAAATTTTATCCAGTTTGTATGTTAATGGAAATTCTTGCTTTGCTTTATCATCACCATTACAAATGATTAATTCGACGCGAACGAAGTCGCGAGTACAAGCTAGTAATAATATAAAAATATTTAAAAGTAATACGAGTAGCTTGTAAATAATTATACAGGGTGTTTCAAAACAAATGCGAAAAACTTCAGGGGGTGATTCCTTGTTCAAAATAAAGGGTAGTTTGCTTCATAAACGTTGGGTTCAAAAGTCAACCATTAGGGAGATATTGCGGTACAAAGATGGCGGAAAAATAATGTTTTTATTTTTTATCTTGAAAACGAAAAGAGATAGACTAATAAAATTTTATGGAAGCATTACTGTTATGAAAACACACTTTCTGGTAATTTTTTCACTTTTTTAAAATGAGTGGAAGGGGTTGAAATAAACTACCCCTATCATTCTTGTTAACGAAATTTAAAGAAAAATCTTATCAAACACATGCAAAAATTAATTTGGATAGTTTAGTTTGTTTAGAAACTTTTTTATCTCTTGTATTTTTTGATAAAATTCACCGATTTGAAATTAAAAATAAAATGTAAAGCATTACATGTCAGGACAAAAACATTTTCTGATAAAGAATCTAGTGGGCTGCTGTAATTTTTTTAGGAAAAAATCTAGTCGGCCTCTGTTACTTTTTAGGATGTTCCTAATATTATTTTATTTGACATTACTCTACTGCAATACGTTATTATCTAGATGATTATTATTATCGTTATTATCACTAGATTCTTAATCTAAAAATGTTTTTTGTCCTGACATGTAATGCTTTACATTTTATTTTTTAATTTCTAATCGGTGAGCTCTATCAAAAAAACACAAGAGGTAAAAAAGTTTCTAAACAATCTAAACTATCCAAATTAAAGCATTTGCATGTGTTTGATAAGATTTTTCTTTAAATTTCGTTAACAGGAATGATAGGGGTAGTTTATTTCAACCCCTTCCACTCATTTTAAAAAAGCAAAAAAAAAAATACCTGAAAGTGTGTTTTCATAACAGTAATGCTTCCATAAAATTTCATTAGTCTATCTCTTTTCGTTTTCAAGATAAAAAATAAAAACATTATTTTTCCGCTATCTTTGTACCGCGATATCTCACTAATGGTTGACTTTTGACCCAACGTTTATAAAGCAAACTACCCTTTATTTTGAACAAGGAATCGCCCCCTAAAGTTTTTCGCATTTGTTTTGAAACACCCTGTATATCGAGAAACTATGGTTACGCTCGTTGAATTTGACATTTTATGTCAGTTTAATAATATATTTTCGTACTTTTGTGCTTAGGCGTAAAAGTGCTTTACTTTTATGCCTAGGTGTTAAAATGACTTTTTTATATTGTCAATCACGTCGCAAAAAATAATACTTCTGTGACATTTGAAAAAAAAAATTCCCATACGTGGTTCAATTATTTTGAACACAAAGTTATACAATTAAAAATATATCCTATTGACTTCAATCTAATTTTTATTTAATATCTGGATGCACTAATTTAATGACATTTTTTCACACAACCTGTTAAAACAATTAAGAGGCTTTTTTACGATTCAATAACCAACCTACACCGACTATAAAATTCTTAATTTCATGGCGTTTTCTTCATGTTTTATAGCAAAATAACTGAGAATAAACGTTTATGTACATTTAACTGTGGGCGAAGTACTCAAATTATTTGTTTACATTAATGTTTAGAACTTTTTCGACTGGTTTTCCTATTAAACAAGTCTAAGTATTCATTATTAGAATGTCGCGAAAGATTTAAATAATATACAGGGTGTTCCTGGATAAGCTTGCATTAAAATTACCAGAGGATCAGGAATGACGAGTCAGAGCATAGTGTTTCTTCTTTAAAATCTATACTAATTAATTTTTTCAGTTGTTTAAAAATTAAAAAAAAACGGTTGAAATAAGTTGAAAATTAATCGCAATGTTTTAACGAGTGTTCAAAATATACATAAAAAATGTCAAAAACAAGCCATTAAAAAACATATATGTATATCCTGTCATTGATATGCCTACTGAGCTTTATACTGTCACGAAGACTGGCACATAAATTTTAGTTAAAAATATTTCTAAATAATATTAATATTAATAAAAAAAAATACTTTACTTACCTTGATATTCGACAATTAAATAGGTTTAAAACACATTTTATCAAAAAATAAACCTAATTTAGGGTTAACAAAATAAATACAACATAAAAATTAACAAGTGTGTGATCAAAAATTAAAGGTCTAGAGGAAAAACTTGATAAGCGCCAATTTCTTAATTTTAGGATTTTACCGAGAATTTTACAATATTATAGTTGGTCTAACTGGTCCCTACAAAATGTATAAACTCTGCAGAGCAATCAGTCGTTAAATCCTATGATATCTATGACATGTACAGGGTGGGTCAAATTCGACGCTTTTAAATGGAAACATCCTCTTCTATAGAAGATAGTCGAAAACTAATATCGGTGTCTGGAGCTCAATTTTCATCAAAAACATGATGCTGAAAACCGCACATCCATATCTGTTACCGTTTCGGAGTTACAGGGTGTTTTTCAAAAATGTGCATTTTTAACAAATCCTGTAACTTTTTTGCTATGGAAAATTTTGTATTTCTATGAAAACATTTCCAAAGCACCTTTTTACGTAGAATTTAATGGTTTAAGTATAATTTGTTTTAAATTAATTTAAGAGTTATCAACAGAAACATTGATTTTTTATTTGGGATACCCTCTATATTTTTAATTAACCGAAAAGAATTTAAAATTACCTTTCCATAAATATAGCACACTTGATATTTTGTTATAATCCCCTTCGAAATACAGAATTTTTAAAAGTTTGCCACTTTTAACTAGTAGGCTTTGGACCCCTTATTGATGATATGCGCTTAATGGAACTCGAAAACATATTTTTCCAGCAAGACGACGTACCGCCTCTGAACGCTGGAGTTTTCAGCAAATTTTTGCAGCCAATTTTAAGAATAATTGAATAGATAACCAAAATCCCAGCCGTTGGCCGTCGAGGCCGCCTGACTTAGTGCCAATGGATCTAATCCTATGGATATATTTGCGGAAGAATAAAGGTTCCTTATTCTTCCGTATAGTCTAGACAAGAATTAGAAATACTTAGCAGTTATGAGAGGGTATCTTTCACCTCCCCTGAGTTAATGAATTCCGCGAGAAATGTTCAAAAACTGCCCCGTCTGTCCATAACAAAAGACGGTCGATATGTCACAACACCCGTAGCAAAATCTCATGTCTTGGTTTGCTATTTATTTTTTATTGCTATTACATATAGTTTAAATGTGTTGATGTTGGTTAAATATATTTTAAACTGTTATAAAATTCTGCATCTCTCATAGCAAGTATTATTTTCGTTTTAATTGATGCTCACAGCTAGAATTTTTTTGCATTACAGCCGGTGCCGTTCAAAGCCTACTTATTTAAAGCGGGCGAATTTTTATATAGTCTATATTCTATATCTCGAAGAGGAATCGAGCAAAATATCAAATGTGTTATATTTTTGGAAAGGTAATTTTAAATTCTTTTAGTAAGTAAAAATATACAGGGTGTCCCATATAAAAAATCAAATTTTCTGTTGATAATTCTTAAATTATTAATTTTAAAAAAATTATACTTAAACCATTAAATTCTACGTAAAAAGGTGCTTTGGAAATGTTTTCATAAAAATACAAAATTTTTCATAGCAAAAAAGTTACAGCGATTTGTTAAAAATGCATATTTTTGAAAAACACCCCGTAACTCCGAAACTGTAACAGATATCGATATGCGGTTTTCACCATCATGTTTTTGACAAAAATTGAGCTCCAGACACCGATATTAGTTTTTGTCTATCTCCTATAGAAAAGGGTGTTTCCATTTAAAAGCGTCGAATTTGACCCACCCTGTACATGCCTAGTAAAAATATAGAATATACGGAAAAAACGTGATAACCACCAGCCATCCAGTGCTTTCCTGTAAAATTAGTAAAATAAGGCTTCTAATGTTTTTCCCCTGGACTCTACAATACAATAATGCTTTATTATTGATATTCAGGGTGCTCTCACATATTATGTTAATTAATATGTTATTTTTCGAAATACATACATAGAGAAAATAGAAAAAATTTACTTACTATTATTTTGAAAATACCAGAGACAGATATTAAAATAAAAATAAAAAATATTTTACCACTCTGTACTTACATTAAAAAATAAAGTATCAATTTTAACTCTTTATTGCAATTTTTACTAGAGTACTATGCTTCTCTAAAAAATATAGTACCCCTACGTAGTAAAGTAAAGCTTGTCGAGGGAGAAAATACATGACAGTGACAGTTGGCTGTCATTCTAAGTAATTTCACGTGTAAATTATACTTTCTGTCATTTTTTGGACGTCCTCTGTCGAAATTTTTCCTGATTTGTTGGACAAGCTTTACAAAAATATTAAGTATTATGTCCTACCAGTTTATTTTTTTGTGATTTTATTATATTTTCTTATTAAATATCTGCTAAATACCAGCTAATAATTCTCAATTTAATAAAAACCGTTATATTAAAAAAAAACAGTGAAAACTTGAACAATTACTAATATTATTAGAACTAATTATTTATATAACCTGTCCAGTAAAATACTACTGACAGCGACAGTCTTCTGTCATTTTAATTCAAATCTACATCGATTTTACATAATCTTTTCATCTCATCTGTCAAAACCATATATTCTCATACTGAAGAAACTATATCTCATATAATTAACACGAAAACGTCAACTATATTACGAAAAATACTATCCAGAATAATCTGTATCATTTTAAAATATATTTTTGGTTAAATTACTTAAAATAATTCAAAATTCAAGTAAAAAAAGGACTAGGTATAAACACTGGTAGGTCATTTTCTATATAAAAAAAGTTCTTTAAATTTCGAATTTTATCAACAAAAAAGGGTACTTACTACTTTTTGGTGGCGATTGTGGCACTGCAGGCTTATGTCTGTCCCCACATAATCTTCCTATCCGACTAGGAGGCCTAATACCGCTCTTTGTGGTGGAAACACTGGCCTTCGAAGAGGCTACACTGGCCAAAGACGAAACACTACCGCTCAGTTCAGACGCAGTCACTAAATTCGAGTGTTTTTCAGAGTCACTTTGTACACTAACAGGTAGATTTGACGAAGATGGTGGCTCTCCCACGTTGAGAGCCTCCCCAGTGCCTTCTTTAGTGCTCATATCGGAAAGCACATCAAAAACGCTGCAAATTTAATTAGTTTTGTTAAAAAGACTGCATTCTGTGTCCATGAAATGTGTTTTTATCAATGTAAAGCTTGTTTAAAGAAACATAAATAATTAATTAGATATCTAGTCCATTTCTGTAAACAGATGTAAATTATTCAAGTCAGGATGTATTAAACAACTTAAATTATCTCATTACTACTTGTTTTGATCCGTAAATAGCTCGATATTAGTAATAAATCATTGGTAAATATGTAATGTTTACGTTTGCCCTTATAAGGTCAACTACCTGTTTTGATATAACCTAACTTTCTATAAAACAAAAAGGAAATTGCCTTTACTTAATAAAGTTACATGGAAATTAATAATTTTGCAAATTAATTTATCTAGTATATTATGGCTTATTTACCTGAGTTATTTATAGATCTATCAATGGAAATAAATAAAGAAATATATTGCTAGAAAACCAGTATATAACAAGCACTTTAAAGTTTCTTTTTATATGAACACTAACTTTATTTAGTAAATATTTGTAAATATGTAAAAATCTGTTTACGATAACAAGGCTAAATTGTAAAATTAATAGAGAAAAATTCCACAGTTTAATTATAAAATTATTACTCACGTAATTCCACTCAACGTGTCAAAAAACAGCTGGTTTTAACCGCTTTGAAGTTTTGAATCAGTGGGTCGAGTGCATCGTTTTGTGATTGGTTAAAAATATTACTTTGGAATAATCAATTTGGATCAATAAAAATAAAAATCCAAATTTTTGAAATAGTTCCATAATTAGCTTATTAAGCTTTTACAGATTTACTGCTGCATATCAGGTTTTCAATTTGATTCCAATTGTTTTTATTCTCGTCATTTTAATAAATTTCAGACATTTGTAGACGCGTATATACAGGGTGAATCAGTTTTTTACACTAAAGTTGTATTTTTTATTTAGAATGCTCTAATTTTTTTTGCTCAGTGATTTTCAATAAATCCTTCATTTCAAAAATCAAAAATACCCTAATGGCATAAGCTATACCAGGTGGTTTTTGAAATATTACTGTTTTTAGACTAAATTTTTTACATCTAGCTCTCTGAAAACTGCAAAATTACAGATTATTGATGCCATTTAACTGAAAGTAGAGGCTGTTCAACGAACAAGGGAACAACAGACGACATCCAAAAATGACAAAATACCATTTACCTGTGAATTAAATGAGACAGAACTGTCACTGTCATGTATTCTCTTGTGGAACAGACTATATGGTATGTTAGTGCCTAATAGTGTATAATAGTGACTAATCACATTAAAATAGGTTTAGTTTTGATTGGTTAAAGATGTTTTTCAAATGGAACACCCTGTGTTTTACCTCTCAAAGCAACAAACGTTTTATCAATCAATGCACAACAAAAAATTAGTAATTAAACATTGATTTTTGATATAAAAATATTTATCACAACATAGTTTGATACAATGCGATCGAAAAAAATGGTGTCAGAGATGGCTTTGAAAAGGAGATCGCCGTCATTTTAGATGTAAATTAACTGGTTAGTTAATGTCATCGATCGGCGTTTCCAAGCCATCTGGACGCTGTTTCCTTTTTCGATCACACGGTACCTAGGAAAAATTAGGATTGTGAAATAATACATCAAACATATTTTTTTGGACCTTTTTTTATTAAAAACAAATTTATATTTGCGTTGAAACAATTAGGTAACACATATAAAAAAAAACATAAACAGTATTGGTACTTTTATACAGTAAATTCTAAGAGCAAATTAAATGAACTAAAAAAGACAATTTCTTTTTCGTTGTTTCCCGAAAACATATTTTCAAAAACACTCAAAATTCATCCAAAAATTTGAGAAATAATCAATTAACCATCGTTACAAGACTAGGATTATAGGAAAACTGCTGTGTACCTTAAATTATATCAAATCTAATGTATAAAGCACCATAAATGATTGAAAAAAAAATAGATTTAAGTGAGTTTAGAATTAATATAATCAAATCTATTTTATTCTGATCAAAAAAGGTAGGTATACCTCGATGGGCAATCTAATCACAATTTTCGATATAAAAAAATCTTATGATACAAAAATATTTACAGAAGGGGGGTTTCTTTAAAAATAAAAGAAATATTAGGAAAACTCCAGAATTATATGTCAAACTCAATTGATAAGATACTGAACAATGTAAAAAACATAAGTTATGTATAAAGTCAAGCTATAGAATGTTCGGCCATTGTTTAATGTCACGTCATATATTGTCGAACTCTCTCAGGGTGCAGCCACACTATCCTAAAAACGGCGTATCGGCGTAACGGCGTAACGACCTTGAATCAATTTCCAGTAATTCTATTGGCTGAAATTTTTGACAGATAAATTTGACAGATAAAATTTCTGACAGATGAATGTTTCAGCCAATAGAATTACTGGAAATCTATTCAAGGTCATTACGCCGTTACGCCGATACGCCGTTTTTAGGATAGTGTGGCTGCACCCTCATTCACTTGACAAACCGGATGAAAGAGATTATTAGTGACGTCATTACGGCATTTCGTAAATTACTGCATATTCTTTTTAGTAATTGTCATTGTCATTTGATTTAGGGTTATAATTTTATTGACGGACATCGATCAAGGTCAAAATTAAAATTTGATTGAATTTTCAAAACAATATGAACTGATCTCAGACACACCCTCAAACTCATATTTGACAAATAATAATGACGTAACGTTGAATGATGGCCGAACAGTCTTTATATTTTCAGAAAAAACAATTCTGAACCATCTGATGTTTTTAAACTAAAATTATATATTTTGTTTTGTTGACATTTGACTAAAAAATCATGCAATTAATTTACTGTACCTACTTAAGTCTAATTATAATAAGAAAAAAATTAATTTAATGTTCTAGGCTTAAGAGGAGAAATAATATTTGTTCAAAAAATAAATAAATAAAAATATTTAAATATTATGATGATTCTATGACGAAAAAACGGCAACTAAAAAAATAAATATGGTAGGACCCGTCGGAGAGGATGAATTTACAAAGAAAAAACATAATACAGGGTGTGCCAAAAAGTTATAGTTTTTAAAAATTAATATTTCATATTTTTTTGCAAATAAAAAATACTACGGATTGGAATTATTCTTGTTTGATTTATGTTATTTTAGAGAAAAAATGATTTTTTTTAAATAATCTCTAAAAAATCACAAAATAAATAATTTTTGCGGCGTGATTAACAATATAAAAAAGTCATTTTAACGCCTAGGCATAAAAGTACAAAACTCTATTATTAAACTGACAAAAAGTGTCAAATTCAACAAGTGTAATCATAGTCTCTCGATATATAATTACTTACAAGGTATTTTTAATCTTTTTATATTATTTGGAACGTTTGAAATTGTTTAAAAATTTATTTGTGATGTTTGAGAAAAAATAGCATGTTCTATTCGGAGTAAAAATGACTTTTTGTGCCTCGACTGTAATGTCAAATCTACAGCCTTGCTACAAAAAGTATAATTTTTACTCCTATTATCCCTGTATATTTACAAAACTTAGTACGAAGACGCGGAAAAAAAAACGTTTATGGAGAATTTTCTCACTGTATCCAATAACAAAAAGAAACTATTTTGACATTCAATTCAACTGTCATGGCGACAAATTGTCGAAAGTCTTCTTAAACAATGTAAAAAAAGGGGTTATATGACAATATATAAAAAAAAACGTCAAAGAGTATGTACTAAGATAAATAAGTATACCGAGACTTTCATTTGAAAAACTGATATATTTTGCCAGTAAATATAACGGTAAAATTGACATTATTTATCAATATTTTGTCACCTAATTACACTTTTTAGCACACCCTGTATATTTTAAACCCTATTTAACAGTTTGGCCAAAGAAACTAACGATTAAAATTACTTAAACTGTCATAAAATAGATTTGCCAAAACCTATTGACAACGAAGATAGAACAAAATTTAAATAAAAATACAACTTAATAATATAATCAATTTTATATTTTGTTTTCTTTCTAAATTCATCTCATATTTAATACTATTTACACGAGAAAAAAAAATTATTTGTGTTTTCAGCGTTAGAAAAATAAATTAAAAAAAATAGTTTGCGCAGGATGTTTTTTTTTCCGAAAAAACATCATTCCCAAATAATTAATAAAATAAAGTGCATGCTTTTGTTTTTCAATTTGAACTAAATTAAAAAAAATGCTAGTAGATAACCCACTAGCCGTTATCACAAAAAAAGACGAAAATGAATTGGCGAAAATGACAGAAAAACGAAGATTTACGAAGGTTGTCGAGTAGATCAGTAGCGCAGGGTCAAACTTTGCGTTTCTTTAGTTTTTCCAAAGTGTCTTTGAGTAGTTTGTCATAGGAATTGTCGCTGGATTGCATGTGATAGAAAGACTCGTCCCTCATGTTATCTGAAAAAAAAATTGTGATATTCTTATTTTATTATTCTTTTCTAATCTTGACATTTCTTATTTTTCAATTTTAAACTGAGTTTTTTTGGAAAATTTGACCCTAGAAACCCTAGATCATATTATACTTCCGTGGATAAATCAACGCCGTAAGTTTAGCATTAAAAAATATGTCTCCAACATCACGACATGCCATTTACAAACCTTCTTTATTGCACTTATGAAACGTTCAATAGGTTTGTCTTTTCGGAGGACCTTAGTTTGCGCATGCGCATTAAAAGTTGCATGTATTTCCAAAATAAGAAAGGTTTAGAAAATACAAATTATACATTGTTATGGAAACCAACTGTCATCATATTATCATAATCAATCCAGAGAGAAACTAATAACTAAAGTGAGAGGGCTTGTGGAATAGGGCATTTCGTAGACAAGTTTATTTTGTCACCGCGCATCCCAGACGCGCATAGCGGTTGGGCGGTCAAAAAAGGAAGTTTTCAACTTTGCAAAGTTAAACATTTGACAGGATTAATTAGATTGTCAGTAGCTTTTTCTATTTCTTAGTTCTAGAAGGAGATAACTAAAATCTGTTGATAATCGGAGCAAATCGGAGTAATACATTGTTTTTGACTGAATGTGTCTATTCTTTTAGCTTGTCAGAAGAGAAGATTATTGTCATTATTGATTATTTCAGGTTCCACGATTATTCGGCATTTTTGTAATTTTTTTTTGTGGTTGAGACCCAGACAAAACGTTTCCTTTAAAGGTAAGTTTTATCTCGGTAATTATTTTAAGATACCTAATAGTAGTAGTGAGTGCACATAATAATCGTACATTGCTAATTTAATTTTTTTAATTTAAAACATCACATTCTTTTCTGATACCTATGAAACGACTAGGTATTATACCTGGTATTATTTCCAGTAATACAAATTATTTTCTTCAACTGCTAGGTTCTTTTTAGAGAATAAAGACTATCAAAAACATTGAATACCTACGGGATACCTACTGATACTCTGTGCGAGCTCCCAACCGTGCTTCCCTGTTCACTCCCAACCAAGTTAGATAAAAAAAGATACTGAAGATTGCAGCCTTGAGTTGGAGTATGGCAAGGAGTATGGAGTTAAATAAATTATTATGTTCCTACACAGTATTTTATTTATAGGTTTTAATGCTTTAAAGTCTAATAATACATTTTCGTTGTCAACAAAATAATCTAAAAAAACTACGAAGATTTCTTATTATAAACTTGAAAGATTAAGATTCGGTTCAAATATACAAATTTTAAATTTTTGGCGCCAGAATGTAGGTATGAATGCAACCTACTATATCGATAATGGGCTCATAGTTCGGGTTAGACGCCAAAGGCCGCGCCACTAACACAGTCTTCAAAAATTAACGTTGATCGGTCTCTGTCACTTTAGTTATTAGTGTTCTCTCTGAATCAATCATAATCTTATTTTCACTGTGTAACGACGCTTGTTTTTTGTTTTTTTTATTTTAAAATTTGTATTAATTACTCATTTATCGACCGCTTTTATATAGCCAAGGATGAAAGTGTGTTCAGTGAGAAGTTAAAAGTTTGTGCACTTATATTTCTATTTTTTTTTCGTTGGACTTTCTAAATACTAGTAAAAATGACTAGAAAGTGTTTGGTGTGTGGAATTTCTAATATAAAGGTCCCCAAATTATCTTTTCATAGGCAAGTATTTATTTATATTAAGCCACATGCATACTTTCTGGTTAGATTTCCAGAATTTTGATATTCGTACGGAGTGTGTATTTTTTATATAATTTAATTTTTGTGACAGTAAACATTCAATTTATTGTTCAAATATATGCATTTTACAAATTAAATTTCTAAAATTAATGTTAAAATTTGGCGCGGGGACGATAGGTCCTCGACAAGGATAGACAGAGTAGAAGCACCGCGTGTGCAACAAAAAAAGAAGATAAATGGAAGTCGTTGATATGTTTGCGACAGTTTCCATAGTTATTTACTTATCCACGTAAGTAAATATGATCTAGGGTTAAAACCGCAATTTTCATTGCAATAAAACGTCAAAACCACTATTCATCAGTTCAATATTCATCTACAAGAACAGTTAACCTAATATGACTGCTCATTCAGCCAAAAGTGTCCGCTTGGTGCATGCGAAAACTCCTCGCTTTGTGACGTCATTGTAGTCCTTGTCATGGTTATTAGTCCTTATGCGGCAACCAATAATACACACACATGCATTATTGGTTGCCGGATGCAAAACGTTCATTATTTAATTTATTTATTTAAACACCTTATATGTAAGCAGTATAGAAAATTAACTGTATAAATCGTATTAAATACTCGGATAATGCATTTTTAAGAACAGCAGTTCCCAGCATCACCTTTTGCAGGCATTCTTTTTATAGTACTTCCATATTTTGCTTTAAAATAATTAATAAACAATATCGTAGGCACTTAGTAAGCACTTTGTTACAATCCACAACACAAAATGAACGTATTTGTACACTCTATAGCTCTAAAAACTTTAAAAACACCCCTTTCACATTTAAAATTGACAAAATAATTAACTCAAAATTTCTCAGCTGTTATTTTTATAAATTTACCATAGGCAACTAATAATACACACTATCATGACAAGGACTACAATGACGTCACAACTGTCAGCTGAAGCGCGGGAAGAGGCGAAGGTACGTCTTATGAGCCGGGTTCAAAAGTAGTTAATTAAGACGTAATTTACCTGATTAACTACGTGTAGTTTTTCTTCAAAAACTACGTCTTTTCCCTTTATTAACTACATGAAAACTACGTTAATAAACTATGTGTTGATATTATGAATAATTTTCCTTTGTATGAGATGTAATAGAGATAATATGATGTAAATATTATATTTAAAGCCATATTTCTTCTGTTTTCTTAAATACATTATGTGTTTTTAAAGCTTCAACTTATTAAAACCTCACCTCAAACCTTTGATATTTGAAAGTTACATACATAAGTTACATAAACTACACCCTCTACATAAACTACATAAACTACATGTAATGTAGTTTATGTAGTTTTTAAAATAACATGTAGTTTTCCGAACCCTGCTTATGAGGATGAGCAATCCTATTAGTTTACCGTTCTTGATTCATCTATATCATCACATTTCAATATTTGTTTACAGACTGTGATTAGAATCTTACAAAAGGTGAAGAATAATGTTAACCAAGCAGAACTAAACATTTTTCATTCAGAAAACTTGCTAATAACTTCATTTAATTAGAATTTGTTTGCGTAGTAATCATAGACAAAGTAATAAGGTAATATAATAAAAAAACATATTTGTATATGGGTATTGCAACATATTGACTTACCTAAGTCTGAGTAAGCTGCTTTACAGAATTCTCTGCGTCCTCCAAAGCTAATTTTGTAGTAAGGGTAGGAAGGATCTTCGTTACCATGCTCATAAGCAGCATGAGCGTCTTCTTTGTATTTGAAAGTGACAAATCCATAGTTTTCACTGAAAATATAAAAAAAATGTTACAAACAAGTGTTAAAACAACACTTAAGCCATTAATAATATTGAAAAACTTATCAAAAACATAGTTCTTCTCAAATTACATTTCCAAATAAGGCGCAAAAAGTGACAATTTAGTATAGTAGTTAGAACCATCTGAATTTTATAGATATAATAAACACCCCTCATAAAATTACTGAATGAATAGACTTCTTCAAATATTTGGCTTTTGGGTTACATGGAAAAGGTAGAAATTCCCTAGCTATAAATGTTTAATAATAGGATGAAAATAGCATTAGGTAAATAAAAAAGTGTCTGGAGATTAATAGTGAATTCGAAAATTTAAGAAACTAAATAAATATACCGGTTTCTGAAATGAAATACCGCATAAATAATGCAGCGGAACTGATTTTTTTTTATTGCTATATGAATTATTTTTCATTAAAACTCTTTAGTAAGGACTGAGTTTTATTCATAAACACAAAATGTTCATACCGTCTCAAAAATTATGAAAAATAATAGATAATTTCATATACGTTTGGTTGTGTTTATATTTTTTAAACTACTATATTTTCAAAATAAATAAATAAATATTGTTCATACCCAATATCTCGGAAATGAAGAGAAATCTTCGTGATAGGCCCAAACTTGTAAAACTTTTTCCTCAAATCATCTTTGATGGTACCCTTGGTTATCCTGCCAACATAGATGATTCTTCTTTCTTCGACGGCATTCAAATGATCTCTTTCCGCAGTTTTTGGCGATCTTGTCCTTCGGTATCTCGGAGATCTTGATCTAGATCTAGAATATGACCTGTGCGAGTAATAATTTGACGATCTTGAAGACCTGGAAGAACATGTTGATCTGCGCGAGCTTCTCGAACAGTTCGAGCTCGAAGATGATATAGAATCGTGTCTAAATCTGAAAAAAAAACGGATTTTTGAAAAAAAAATCATTCAAATACCATATAAGGCCTCAAAAAAATAGCTTTAAAATGTTACTTTTGCCATTTCATAGAACTAGTAGACCGAAAAGACATTCTAAAAATAACACTGGAAATAGTAGAAGAATATACAGGGTGAGTTTCCTATGATGTTCTCTATGGGTATCTCGGAAGCTACTGGAGATAAAGAGTCGGTTAAATGGGGAAAGAATTGCAGTTTTGTGGGGTCATAAATAAGCACAGATTTTTGAAAAAGTTCTTGGAAAGTTCTTTACTAGATATTTCAAAAAAAAAAACAAATTTCGGCTATTTTAAAAATTGTCCTTAATTCCATTATAATTTATTTTGGACAAAAAGTTTTCAGATAAAAGTTGTAGATAATCTCATCCTTAATGAAATTGTGACCTCCGCTTTTTTCTAAACCAGGTCATTTTTGACATACAATACAAACATATGTTTTTTTAAAAATGGGAACCATAGTTGGCCATGAGTTCATAAAAAGCCCATTTTTTTAAGCTTTTTATCAATATAAGCTATATTTTTTTTCGAAAAATTACTGAGTTATGCCAATTCTTATGATTTTTAAACAATTAGTTATTCATGGAAACAAGTTCAATCGCCGTTGCTCTCAGAAATGTAAAACTGTCGCATCCAAACTTTGTAAATTAAAATAAACAAAGACTGTAAATATGAATTTTTTGTTAAAATGAATCGCGTCGCAAAAATTAATACTTTTGTCGACGTTTGAAAAAAAACATAATTAAACAGAGAGTACATACCTTTTTGAGCTATTCGAATATACACTGCTGTTGGAAGAACTCGAACTACTCGTAGACCTCTTCCTACTCCTCCTACTCATTTCTTTTTTACACTGTTCCACAAAAGTTATATTCGTCTGCGTACAAGCCTCGCTAGTCGGCACCCTCACCCTATCCTTTTCCAAATACATGACCCGCATATCCTCACCATGACATTCAGCATCTTCCTTGTTCACCGCACCCTGTACATTCAGAACCCTTCCTTTCTTATCTATCACTTTCGGTATATTTTCTATGACCGAAGATATCAGCGAGTTATCGCTGATTTTATCGCTGGCCTTCTCCAGCAAAGGCTTGATTTCTTGCAGCTTCACCACAGGCTCTAAAGGACCGTTAAAATCAGTATTAACTCCAACACTGACAACGGTTACACGTTCTAAATACGAAGGTACTTTCGGGAATTCGACAGCGACAGGTACGTCAATTTTGACAGGTGGCTGTTCGGTCTTGACCTGTGACAGCTCGGGTTTGACGTTAGTAAAGCACGGCGAAGCTGAAGCTGACGAAGCAGCCGAGCTGGAGTATATCGAAGAGAGGTCAGATTTTTTCTCCGACTTTGGGGCTGAGTTGAGGAGTTCTTCGGCCATTTTGCGTAGTTTTTCTTGGTGTTTCAACATTTTCTGGTGTTCGTCTTCGGGTAGGGGTGAGCTGCACGTGCTGGTGTTTGGGGAAGAGTTTAAGGAGCTGTTTTGGGGGGTTAGGAAGTCTTTCCTGCGTTTTTTGTACTCTTCCAAGTTCAATTTTCTTTTATTGTTGGCAACGGCTGTCGGTTCGGTCTTACATTCGATTTTGCGTATTGTGTTTGCCTGTAAAATAAATAAATAAATAAAAAATAACAAAAATAAATAAAATAAGAGATTAAAATAAACTAACAGTATTATGATTATACAGGGTGTCATTGATATGGTGTAAAAAATAGTAAAAAAAGTTCCTATAAGTATAGGGCGGAAAATGCAGATTAAGGGAGTTAGGGGCACTGAAAGGAGTTAGGGGCACTTGAGGGAGTTAGGGGCACTTGTTTTGAAATTGTAGGCTTAAAAAACGAGATAAAATTTCGAAAAAAAATGCTTTGCCATAAATTTTGACCCTAAATCAAATGGTGATACTGAAAAATTATTTGGAAAAGTGGAAAGAGTAGTTTTTGCAAGTGTAGGGAGTTGTTTCGTGAATAACTTCTTAGAGGTTTTTCTTTTGCAACGTGGGTTCATTTTTTGAAATCTACATACTTTTTCCTACAAAAAAGGTACTCTTGTTGCACATCGCCCAGAGCGATGGTTTTCGAGAAAATTGAAGGCAAAGAATTTGCTCTGATGGGTTGGTATCAACATAAACTTATGAAAGTTATGGCGGTTCAAAAGTAACCAAGTATAGTCTGTAAAACGAATAACTTTGAATTTGACAGTTCCCGCGGGCTTTTCTAGTGTTAATATTATTAGGTTAGCAACTTGCGGCCATGCTGACGCAATGCCGTCTCTAATAGAACAGCCTCAGAGCGAGATTTATGACGTCACGCTAGTTAGATACTACGGATTAATAAATATGTTGTAGAAAATGGATGGAATAATTATACCTCGTATTTTTGGTTTGTATTTTAAAAATGATATAGTTTACATGAAATATACATAATATACAGTTAATAAATACAATATATATATACCTATTTATAGTAATAAATACTTTGACAATAAAAAAAAAATACTTTGGCAGATAAACTATAAACCATACAAATGCAGCAAATGTTTTACAATATGGCTGAAATCGTACTCCATAGTCAATGTAGATAGTTTTTGTATTAAGAATAATAATTTAAAAAAATATGTGGTCATCTTTTGACAAGTTTATATTAGTTTATTAATTGCAGTAAACATTATAATATATAAATAAATTTTGTGATTGCAAATAATAATACATCACTAATAGTAGATATTGAATGTTTTTTGTTAAATTAGATCGATTTTCAAACCCCAAAATTTAAAATATATTTTACATTTTACCCATTATCTTATGTACCACCTATTCATTATTTGTATATTGTAAAACATTTGCTGCATTTGTATGGTTCATAGTTTATTTGCCAAAGTATTTATTATCATAAATAGGTATATATTATATTGTATTTATTAACTGTATATTATGTATATTTCATTTAAACTATATCATTTTTAAAATACAAACCAAAAATACGAGGAATAATTATGTTTTCCATGTATTCTACAACATATTTATTAATCCGTAGTATCTAACTCGTGTGACGTCATAAATCTCGCTCCGTGGCTGTTCTATTAGAGACGGCATTGATCTAATATTTAGAAATGTCAAAAGCTGATGACATTTTACTTTTGTCAATTTTGACATTTCGTGTTGATTTTTGCAAGGAGAGGAAGAACTGTCACTTGTTTTATAATTTTCCTTTTTTATTTCACGAAAGTAAAAAGAGTTACCTATCTGATTCGTTCAGGCACTCAGTTTAAAGAATATCAGTAACTTTTTTGACAGAGGGGTTTTATATATGCCATGTTGGTAAAAAATAACGGTCAAAATTCAAAGTTATTCATTTTATAGACTATAGTTATCAAATAATTAATTGAAAAATCAAAATTTTATGATTTTTAAAATATATTATTGCTTTAAACAACGAAATAATCCACTAGATTTCTACTTCTGGTGCCACTTTGAAAGCTTTGGTTTACCCAGTGCCGATTAATACTGAAGAGCAACTACGGCAACGCATTATTGACTGTTCCAATCAAATTCGGACAACACCAAGGATATTCCACAGGGTATGCAGATCTTGGAGAAGAAGAGCAGATGTCTGCATTGAAATGAACGGTGGTCACTTTAAACATTTACTATGAATGAATTAAGGAATGCATTATTTTAATAAGGAATTTTGGTAATTGGTTTATTTCGTTTTTAAAGCCATAAGATGTTTTAAAAATCATGAAATTTTGATTTTCCAATTAATTATTTAATAACTACTTGGTTACTTTTGAACCGCCATAACTTTCATAAGTTTATGTTGAGTTAGTTATACTTTTCCAAGTTTCCATACAGTTTTAGAGAAAATTAAGAAAAACATAAAAATATTGTTGATTTTTTCGAGTCGATGGTTATTATTAATTTTGATTAACGTCATATTCTTTGCTGATGTTAAAGTATAATATTTTCCTATAACTATCATCACCCTTTCCGTAGCATTGAATAAAATAAATTTTGTGCTTCTTTAACATATTAAAACTACAAAAAATATGACGTTAATTAAAATTCTATGGATAACAATCTAGCAAAGAATGAAAACGAAGTTATATTACCATAGACGCGTTTTGATTTTTACGACTTTTGAGGAAAAAATCAACAATATTTTCATGTTTTTCTTAACATTCTCTAAAACTGTATGGAAATTTGAAAAAGTATAACGGGATTAATCATTTTAGAACAAGCAAAATTTTTTATGTAGAATGCATTTTTCTCAAAACGTCAATAAAAAGGTTTTTCCTCTTGTAAAGACAATTCAGGGACATACTGTATACTGACGGGTGCGAATCTTGGGTACTAAATTAGCGACAAAAAAGCAGGATATAAGCCAATGACACAAAAAGACAGAATAAAATAATAAGTGAAAAAAAAAATAAAAAAAAGAATAAAAAAAGAAAAAGAAATTATATAAAAATAAGTATAAAGTATAATATATTTTTAGAAAGCTTACAACAAGGTAAATAAAATAAAAAATAATATACAGGGTGTCCCAATTAAAAAAAAACACATAAGTTTGAATCATATTTCAAGAATGACAGCTCCCAGCAAAAATCTAGTTACGCCATTGGACTATACGTGAAAAACTCTAAAATGCATCATTTTAAAAATCGCCCTGTATTTCAGAAACTAACAGGGCTAGGAAAAATCTGTGTATAGCATGTTTAGTTTCATAAAAAAGTAGCTGAGTGATGAACAAATTTAAATCTAGACAAAAATTTCTGAAAAACTTTTGTATGTCCTAATATAACATTTAAACACACTGTATACAAAAAAAAATCATTACTTACCTTCAGTAACGAGACCATAAGTGTTCCATCTGCGTTTTTCACAGTGGGCTGTCTACTAATAATCGTCTTGTCATCGTCCTCAGACGAAACAAACCCGGAATCCTTCTTTATAACGACCGGTACATTTGAACTACTCTTTGTGCTACAGTAATTGTGATCCAGTTTCACCATGTCAGTCTTGCTCATTTGGATGGGCACTAGTTTGGGGGGTCCTACAGGCTTGACAGGCTTCACTTTTCTGTTGGCTATCGGCTGGATTACAGTGATTGGTTTCCTCTTTCCGGATTCCTTGATCCGGTCAATCAGATCCTGTGGCAGCGACTCCCTGATCTGACTCTTATTGGCTGTTGTAGTAGAGGTAGCTGGTTTTGGTTGTTTGGTAGTGTTCTGTTGTGTGTTTGGTAGTGTTTTGTGTTCTGGCTCAGTTTTAACTGAAACTGGTTTGGTATGTTCTGGTTCTGTTTTAACTGAAACAATTTTAAAATTATTAGAATATTTCGTTTTTATAAATAAGTTACAGAAAAAATAAGTTCCTCTGTATACTAAACATCATACTATACAGGATGGTCCGAACTGTATTCCGGAAACTTCGACAGCATATTCTGCGGGTAAAAATAAGCAAAAAAGTTCATGTAAATGTATGTCCAAAAATGCTTAGTTTCGGAGATACAGGGTGTAGAAGTTTAATTTTTATTTCGATTTTTTCAAAATAATTTCTGAAGTAATGTCAATGTTTGGATGGAAATTGTTGTCTGAGAGTTTTTTGATATGTGAATGTGATTTTGATGTCAATATGACTCCTATTTGTAGGGGCGCCACCTACTTGTATTTTAACTGTTTTGAATAGTAACAACTTTTCGTCCATACATGTATAAAACTACTGAATGAAAAAATATACATTTATATTAAGGTCTCTTGGTAAAAATGAACACACTGTAGATCTATGAAAATATATTTTTGTAAAACTGCAAAATCTAAAAAAAAAGAGACAGCTGGAGTCGTTTTAGGAACAATGAACCACCCTGTATACTGTGATAGATTACAGTTGAGGGTTGGAACCTTTGGTGTTACACAGCAAAATAAAAACACTAAATCACCACAATACACCAAAACACTTTCTGGTGGTTTTTTAAACAACAAAATAACAATAATAAAATCAACTGGTATTTATAGATCACAATTAGCAATTAAGATCGATGAAGTGAAAAAGGTATTGTATTAAATTCTGGGTAACACTAAAATTTCTGTGATTTTTTATGTAAAAAACGTCTCTTGGTAAAAATCGCTACGAGCCACCATAAAACTTTTCTACTTATTTTTATTTGCAGAATATGCTGCCAAAGTTACCAGAATACAGATCAGACCACCCTGTATATAAAAAAATTGACTTACCATTTTTTATCAAAGTTTCTTCTTTTCTATCAGTCTTTTCTTGCTTCACAACTATCTTCCTACTTGCTTGTTCCTTTTTCATTTTCTTGTCATGCTTATCCTCCACACGCTCTTTAACTATATATTCCTGTTTTATCACACCCTGTTCGATTTTAGTCTTTACCGGCTTTATACTAGCCTTCAATTCTAAGTTAACTACTACATCTACCCTTTTCTTCTTCTCATTGCACTTATCCGATTCGGCTGCTTCGAATTTTTCCAAAAGACTAGCCAAATCACCCGCTTCTAATACTGGCTCATTTTCCTCTTCGGAAACCGTTTCAATATCTACATCGCACTCATCATCAGACAAAGATTTCTTAATATATCTATTTTCCACAACGTATCTTTGAGCTTTCATGTCTATCTTTTTTCTGCCTGCTCCCACGGACCTTTTTGTAATTTTTTGTGCTACTACAGGCTCTGGTACTTCATTTTTAACACTATTCGTACAATCAATCTGGGGTATACTCTGAATGGATTGTTTGTTTTCTTCGAAAATATACTCTGCTATGTCGAAATTTGTCATTTCTGTGCTACTAAAGCTAATGTTTAGTAGATCTTCAGTCTCGGAGACTGTACGTCTCCTTGTATCGGTCTCTACTATTGAGGAATCGTGCATGTGTGATATTCTGTTATCGTAGATGGGCTCTGTTTTGATAATACTACTACTTGGCTGTATGTCTTCTAAATTGTTGACTATTTCGGGAAGCTCGAGAATATCTTGTAGCTTTATATTTGGATCTTGTTCGGTATTTGCCCCCTGTAAAAGTTAGAAAAATATTAATATTTTTCTTGGAATGTTTTTTTTTAAACTATATATGAAACATTAAAACGGGAATATATGAAGGTAAGTTTGTTCATTACAAGTAACTAATTTTTAATAGCGAAATAGTAACTAATATTAACCAAATAATAACTAAAATAACAATAAAACTGACAAAAAAAGTAAGATTTATCTATCACATCAAAAAATTACAGAAAAAAAATTTTGGTTGGTTAAACAACGACAGACAGTTGTCGCTGTCATATACTCTATTCTTTTGCTAGATAGACTATACTTGATTTAGAACTAAAAATTGATGGAATATTTACAAAGTATTGAATGCCAAGTAAAATAATATGTATTAACATAAAAAATTAATATTTTAAATAAATTGGCAGAAAACTGTTACTGTAATATACTGTATTTTTTGCAGGACAGACTATAGGTACTTGATTTATAATTAGCAATTGGTTGAGTATTTACAAAGAACTGACTGCCAAGCAAAATAATATTTATGAAACATAAGAAAGCTAGACAAAACATTTATTAAAATAATTAATTAAAATGACTGCAAACTGTCAACGTCATATACTGTATTCTTTTGCTAGACAGACTATGCTTGAACTAAAAATTATTGAATATTTACAAAGAATTGACTATATAGACTGCCAAGCAAAACAATATTTAACAAAAAATTTTAACAAAATGAGAGGTAATGCTATTTATTTTAGAATTAAAATTATATACAACATTCCCAATAAAAGTTAGAAAAATTTCATTAATAAAATAAAAATTTCTTGGAATGTTTATTTTTAAACTATTTATGAAACATTAAAACGGGAATATATGAAGGTACTTAAGTGTTTTAATAAGAAAAAAAAGTTAACACCACAAAGTTCATCACAAGTAACTAATTTTAAATAACTAAATAATAAAAAAACTAAAAAAACTAAACTAAAATAACAATAAAACTGCTAAGAAAAATAAGATTTATCTAACATCAAAAAATTACAGAAAAAAATATTATTTATTTAAAATAACAAGACAGCTGTCGCTGTAATATATTCTATTCTTTTGCTAGATAAACTATACTTGATTTAGAACTAAAAATTGATGAAATATTGACAAAACATTGAATGCCAAGTAAAATAACATTTATCAAACATAAAAATCCTAAAATGACAGAAAACTGTTACTGTAATATACTGTATTCTTTTGCTAGACAGACTATAGTTATTTGATTTAGAATTAGGAAATGGTTGAATATTTACAAAGAATTGACTGCCAAGCAAAATAATATTTATGAAACATATTGACTATATAGGCTGACAAGCAAAACAATATTTAACAAAAAAATACAAAAATGACAGAAAAATGCAAGTTATTTCAGAATTAAAATTATATACAACATTTATAGTAATATTCTGTATTCTTTTGCTAGACAGACTATACTTTTTTGGAAACTAACTACAAATTGATTGAATATTTAAAAATAATTAAAATGTACTTACTTGGGTTGCAGCAGGCCATGGAACTGATAAGTCCTGTGCTTCCTCAGGGAGAATAATATCATTTTGACCTTCAAAAATAATATTTGTTTGTGGTGCATCGTACACAACTCTATGTGAATGCCGTAGATCATCATTCACACTACAAAGAAATAGGTATATGAGAACCCGTTCACTTAGATTTAAAAACAGAGAGCCTCACCGTCTGCCTGAATCCTCCCATTCAAACAAATGATTTGGCGGTCCAGGCATGTAGTGGATTCGTTCAAAGAACTCGCTTTGTCCAAAACTTTCATAATTGCTCATGTCACTCGAGTAAGTGTCCTACAGGGATGAAATATGTTTAGAAAAGAACGTTTTACATGAATAACGAAGTAATTTACCGTGTATGGAGACGAGGAATCGAACGAGAACTGTTCGTCGTCCCTGTATAGGCCCACATCCATGTTGACGTTCTTCAGATTCATAAACACCTCCAAAACAGAACGATTTTTCAGTATTATTTCACCTTCCGGACACTACCTGGGCATACTGGCGGAGATACAACATATAAGTGAGCAAGAATACCCTTGAACCGAGACGAATTACACTGAATTTCGAGTAAATAAAGCACTGTTTTGAGATGGACACGTTTTCGAGGTTATGGCGCCAGACAATTGCAGATTTCACGAAAGCACACTGAAAAAAAGCCCAAGACACTCTTGATTACACTGCGCGAAGACACTAACTGATGGACAGATGCGTTTAGTAAATTATTCCGGGTAGTTTTCGAATACTTGCAGAGTTTTTTTGTTATTAAATCGAAAATATTCACACGTGAGTCAAAACACCTCTTCCAAAACACACCACCGACATTCTTTCCAAATTGGAATAACTGCTGCTGCCGACCTGTAACGGTATTTATAACTTCAGGTAGACAGGAAACTGTCCGCTCCGAGTAGCGCTATTGACGGGTAGGTGGGTCTAATTGCTTTATTGCTTTATTAGTTGCATACCTTTACAATACCCAAAATTAATTTTTTATTCAAATTTAAATTACTCTGTATTTGAAATATGAAAAATTTGAATACCAACAAGTAATTAATAGGCCAGACATTTTCTTATATGTAATGAATTAATTTGTTTATCTATATGTAGTTCAATTTAATATTTAACACGTGTATTATATTTTTTAGTGTAAAATAAATAATATACGTCACATGTTACCCATCTTTTGACGTCATACAGGGGGAAAAGCTGCCCAACGGCATTTGTGGTCAAGGCAATCGGAATTTTTTTCCCACCGTGAAACCTGTTGATGTCCAAAGTCAACAGACGCTCAATATGTTGAAAAAATAAGACAAAAATCGCGCTCATACCATCGCGGGGAGAGGATCAAGTCAAACCAGTGTCGCAAAGCGCGTTTTTTTGCTTTTGCTTTTTTGCACCTCGCTGGTTTATGGTCAGTCATTGGCCGGGGTTTGATAGGCATTAAAGTCGGCGCGTGATTGGTTAAAAAAGGGTAGTTTTTCGCAAGGCGGCGTTGAAGTTTTTTTTTGGGGTTGTTAAGTGCTATTGTGTGCGATAGATTTTTTTTATTAATGATATTTGCATTGTCGTGATCCTGGGAATAATTCTGTAAGTAGAGATAAATAGAATATACCCTTATAATTAATTCTCTTCATATTGCTAAAATTTTTATTAGTCTACTTTTATAATTATATTACTCAGAATTGTCAAGAAAATGTGTTATATCAGTGTTTCTATTTAAAATTTGTTGACAATCTTTTTTATAAAATATATGGGAAATTAGGGGGCTCATTTTAAATATACAGTATGTCCTCGGATTGTCTATACAAAAGGAAAAACTCTTTTATTGTTGATATTTTAAGTAAAATGCATTCTTCATTCTTTTTGCTTGTTCTAAAATGGTTAATCTCGTTTATACTGTGTTTATGCTTTTCCAAATTTCCATACCGTTTTATAGAAAATTAAAATAATACATGGAAATATATGGTTGAATTTTTAATAGATTGTTTTTTATTAATTTTGATTAACGTCAAATTTTTTTGCTGTTGTTAAAGTATCACATTTTCCGATAAAACTATTATCACCCTTTCCTTAGCATTGAACTAAATAAATTTTTGGCTTCTTTAACATTTTAAAACAGCAAAAAATATGACGTTAATTAAAATATTAAAATTTTCTCGATAACAATCTATGAAGAGACGAAAACTAAATTATATTACAATAGAAACGCGTTTTTATTTTTAGGACTTCTACTTTACTTAATCCTTTTGTAAAGACAATTCGGGACATACTGTATATTATATGGTTATACTAATTTGAATATATAAAAAAAACTCTAATGCTTTTATATGAAAAAATTGACTCTATGAAAATTGACTCTTTTAACATACATACAAGAATTTTTTTGCATAAAAATGCACAAATATTTTGATTCAAACGTGTTTGTTATAACAAATTAGTTGTCTATTCAGAATAATAACTATGAAAGGATGTAAAAAGTGCTTAAAATAATGATATTTGTTATTTAAACAACTAAAAAAATATGTCTCTATCCCACAAAATGTAAATTTTGTGATTCAACATGGTATATTCATTTCCTTCACTTATTATAATATAAATTAACTTTAAAAAATGCATAAAATGTATAGTTTTGCAGATATACTTTGGCAATATTAAAAAAATACTTGAATTTATGCTGTGTTAAGGTGTGGCGTCATACTAGGCAAAGAGATGTAAAAATTAACACTTTTCTTTATTTCAATTTATATAACAGTATATTTCTGGGTTTCGTTAGCACACTACTGATTGGGAAACATCAAAAATTCTGTTTGGCATCGATTTATTGAAAGTTATTTCAATAAATTATTAAGAAATTCATTTCAAAGAAACCTATATGTAATTGTCATCCTATTTTTAACCGACATTAGGGCTGTACTCTGTTGTAAAACCAAGTTCGTAAAGTTAGTTCGTAGTTTTTTTCTTAGTTTATCATCATCATCATCATTTTCCGTTTATTATAATAGTTATTATAATAACTTAATATAATTTTTGAGGTCCATCTATATTAAATGCTGAAGTAAAAAAATAAATAAGAAGATATGCATAAAAAATTGTTACGTACTTCTCTATGAGTACTTTGTGCAATATGTTGTCAAAAACAATGCACAATTCGCTAAATCAAACAATAAATATTAACAAAAACCGAAATATAATGTTGTAATACATGACCTAGTTTTGTCTTTAAAAATAATAAGGTATATTTCGTCAACGATTCCACTAATTAGCGGTCTAGATGTAAAACGGCTCGTAAGAACAATTTAATTTACATTACTAATCAATTAAATTATATAGTTTTATCTATACAGAGTGTCTCAAAATGAACAATAATAAAAATATACTTTTTTCCATAGCAACTGTTAAAATTATTGCTTTATATCTATCAAAAATAATAGATAAAATAGTACTTTAACCGCAAAGGTAGATTAAATGATACTTTAACAGCGAGGATAGGTTAAAAACTTTATTTCGTCTCTCACGTTGTTTAATTGCTTCCATTTTTGAAAACTTTTGTATTCCTTTTCATAAGTTATTCGGGATTTAAATGGAGGTAGTTTGGATATGGCGTTTGACGCCTCAGCTTTAATATCTGTTGGTAATTTACTTATGTCGTTTTGAACCATTTCTGGCCCCAATTCAATCAGCAATCGACACGAAAGAGAATTAAAAAATATTGACTCAAAACTGTCAACTAAAGAGAGAGCTTTATTTATTTGTCAAATTACATAGAAACCAACGCCAACCCAGCACAATATTTTTTCTACTCATAATAAGTTCCTTGAAATAATAATTTCTGAATTATTTTTAAAACGTAACTCCCTATGGAAGAAAATATTGTTTTATACACGACGATAAAATTGCATTATCGTCTACCGAAATTAATAATCTATTCGTTTGACGATAAAATACCATTTTATCGTCTTGTATAAAAAATAACTATAAAGTTGTGGTCGAAAAATATAAACTACTGGGATTTCTAAAGGATCAGAATTCGTCCTCTGGACGCGATGTCCCTCCCCAACAAGTTTAAAATTATGTTAAATAAGAAAAAATAACGAGTGAAAGTAAAATTATATTAAAATTAATGAAAAATGTAGGGAAGTTTTCAGCAATTTTCTTTGGAAGGTATTTTCTACTTTAACGTACAAAAAAATACTGAAATTTTCTCTTTCGGGTACTTCAGCTTATCTTGCTGCCTTCTCCACCTTCCAAAATACATTGTAATTATAAAATGCACTAAAAATTATCATTTTCAATAAAAACTCTTATTTAGCTGTTTACGTTAACAGACTTCAATTTTTAATTTAAGAAAAGGCTAAAAGGCCAAAATAATTTAGCTTAAAAAATGATTAAAATTGGCCCTCTAAGACAAAATACAGGGCGTCCCAATATTCAGTGGACATAGAACTACTACGTATTTTGGGAATCAAAATAAGTTCATTGGACACAATTTACCTCTATACAAAAGTGCTTCGTTTGTCCAGTAGAGGGCATCAAACTTCAAAAAAATAAACATATTTTTTCAGATATTTTAAAAACCGTTATTCCAAACCTAATAGAATAGAATAATAGAATAAGTGGGAGGGGGGTTAATCTCTGCGACCTTAGAGATCTATTGTGTCCCCCTTTCTTGAGTTATAACTCATCATACAGTCCCAGGACTTCCTACGGAGATCCGTGTCCCTCACAGTCGAAGAGCTACGACCCAGGCCGGGTAGACGAAACGGTAGCTTGTGTCGCCTGTTGGGTTTAGAGGTAGGAGGTAGGCTCCCGACCCTTGGAGGAGGTGGTAGCTTGTATGCCACTTGCGGAGGATGGTCTCACGCAAGTGTCAGCCACCTCTCCTGTAGTTCTCTTTGGGTTTGGCCCCTAGGAACTTTCATTGTTACTGTTCCCAGTGTCGTTAGGGGGTTTCCCCACAGCTTCACCGGTGATGTTTTTATTACTATTATTACCAGATCTCATAGTGTTCCTATGAGTCGCTAGGGACAGTCGGTCCACTTCTACAGAGCCCCGCATGTAGAAGTAAGGGGTAAAATACAATGGGGTGCCCCCCGGTGCCCCAAGGTTGAGGCTGTCCGTAGCCCCGCCCGGTATCGTTATATGTCTTGGTGCAATTCCCTGGCCACGACACTACGGTCAGGGACAAGACGATGAGTGAGATGCTTCTTAGACCAAGCCAAGTGCTAGGGGAGATTTCCCCCAGCACCTGACCAGGAGCTTCCCCACCAACGACAAGGTCTTGCATCTCCTAGGGGAAGTTTTACCAAACCTAACGAAAAATACGTAGTAGTTCCATGTCCACGGAATATTGAGACACCCTGTATATTGAACTTAAAATTACATAAACATTTGATGGTGTTTGTTTTGCCTGTCGTCCAGTGTATTTTGCCATTTTACTAAAAGTATTTTTACAAAAGGACACTCTGGTATTAACCTCAGAGTAAGGTATTAACTGAGTGCATATCTATAGCACAGATAACATATTCTATAGGTTTCATATTCCGATGAAATTCATACAAATATGGAAAATTTGTTTATTTTTTGTGTCTAATTATGTGTTTGTACAAACGATTCAAATGCGTAACTATACTAATAATATCAAGTTGTTTTCCTTTTGTTTGTTTATTCAAAGATGGATATTATGTAGTTTACATAATATGGTGATTTGTAGTAAATGGACCAGAGCACTAATATTTCATGTAACACGCTGTATAAAAGCATTACCAGTATTTTTTTTTCAAACGTCACAAAATTATTAATTTTTGCGACGTGATCGACAATATGAAAAGGTAATTTTAACGCCTAGGCATAGAAATAAAGCACTTTTACGCTTAAGCACAAAACTACAAAAATATATTATCAAACTGACATTAGTCAGCGAGTGTTCCCATTGTAGCTCGATATACAGGGTCCGGCAATAGTGCGTCGGGTATCTGTATAGAGCTCCTAGAATAAAGAAATTGAGAATAATTATTTTGTTTAACCTAAAAAAGTATGTATGAGGATGTATTTCGGGAAAATATTTCTATAGGGTGGGTTAAAAAAGTGAGATTGGAACACCCTGTATATTATTACATTTTTGGCTTCATTTAAGATCACTTTACATAACCCTAAGATATAAGTAAATATATTTCGATAATTTCAGAGACTTTATTTTTCAACATTTCTTAAAAAAAATATTACAAATAGAAGAATTGTCCTGAAATCAAAAATATATTAGGTAGGTATTTACTTTAGATGGTCTATACTTACTTTCCTATAAATATCGTAATCTTAAATCATACAGGGTGTTCAAAATTCTACGCCAAACTTCCTAAAATATAAAATATTTTTTCTTTGTTTTTTTTTTAGTGGATCACCCCGTATATTATTTTTTTAATAGATGGAAGTAGTGAAAAAAAATGAACATTTTTTGTATTTAAAGTACATATTCCAAAATTTTTAATGGTTTCGCAGGTACACGCAGTATTATTTCATATGGTTCAACCATCCCCCACAAAAAGTATCATTTTTCCTTTTAATAAAAACACACAATACCTATATACTAT